CCTGTCACAGAAGCTAGAGACAGAAACAAACGAAGCAGAAGAAGAATTCCGTAACAGTAACAGCAGGGAGGAGAATATGAAGAAGCCTGGCCAATTTATCAGATAAAGAAAACTTAAGAAGAGGAATACTCATAATAAAGACAATAGGGAGACTGCCAACAATAAGACAAGTTCAATGCTCGAAACAACAATAGAAGTACGTTGTGGTGATAGTCATAGGCAGAAGCAGAAGCAGAATCAAAACAATAAGGTGCATGAGACGGACAAACAGCAAGAGTAGTAGTAAGAAGAAGAAGAACAGCGTACTCAAGCAATAGTCATCATAATCAGAAGGAGACGAACAGCAATGCATCGTCACTGCATTAATTGCCAGAATGATCAGTATGGTCACACTACAATCAGATAATGATGGTGATGACGATGACGTGCTTGATGATGGGGATGATGATATTGAGCAGGATGGTAGGGATGAGGCAGATGGGGCTGGCGATGTTATTGTTGCTAACAGTACAGCCACAATACATGCTGTGACAGTTCCATGAGCTCACGGTTTCATCCTCGCGGCCTTCTAGTGAAGGATGCTGGGGTTTGAATCCTGTCTGGTTAGAGGCTTTGGGTTTGGGGGTTTGGTGTTGTAGAATTGCTTGTCCGGTGAGCTGCCTTTGGGCGTTCGGACTCTGAACTCTGAGCCAAGCCCAGCAAGACCGCAACGATGCAAACAAGATCACAGCCGACATGATCCGATCTCTATGCCCTCCTTTCGAACCAACAAGAGCAATCGTCGCGATAGTTCATCTAGACAGTGCTTCATGTCTTGCCTTAAATAGCAGGTTTTGGTTCAGTCCGTTCTGCGGCACGGTTCCGGGCCGAATCGATGCACACTAAGTTTTGAACTTTGGCCGGCTTCTTAACTACGATTACGCAAACAGAACACAGCAGGACTGGAGCTGGAATCAGGAAATTAGGCCTTCCAGGCGAGCCTGTGAGCGAAAGGGCGAGTGCCAGTGTTCCACGGTGGTTGGAAGCGGGGGAGACTAAGCCTGACGAAGCCAGCGGGCAACGAGCGTGCAGTGAGCCATAGCGTGCCGGTGTGTAACAAGGTGTCGTCTGAAGAACGTGGTTTCGATGAAGACGCTTCGAGTGTGCAAGTAGGTTCTGGATCCCGAGGACCAGTACAAATGGACCAGCTGGTGCAGATGATGGGTCGGCTAGATAGACCTGGACAGACATCTGAGCAGCTATGTCGGGCCATTCTGTACATGTGTCTGGGCCAATTTCTGCCTCGAGATGTCTCTGCATTCGGACCATGCCTGTGAATGAAGCACTGCATCCTGCCCTTCTGAGGAAGCGCACACACGAGGAAGCTGCCGCTCTGAAAATTAACATGCGACCACAATCCAAGCCTTTTTGGATGTCTTGCCTTTTTTGGATGTCCCGTCCAGCCTATCCCGCTCTTTCTGTATTGGAAGGTCTAATTAGGCATGTTGGTAGAACCGGAGCCGTCCTACTCCTTTCAGGAAGTCGCGCATCTTCAGAAGCATGCTGCATTCTGGAGCTTGCACATCAAGCCCATTGCGCGTCTCATCGTTATGGCCACTGCTGGTGCTGCAGACAACCGGCAGGCGGCATGTACGGAAATTGTGCGACTGGACATCGGGTACATTCGTACTCCGTGCTTTTGTTGGATGCAGGAAGTCAGCGAGAGGTACGACAAGCTCCTGGAGGGAGAGCAAAAGCCAAAAGCTGCAGCTTCTCTCGAGATCGCGCAAGCTCCGGAAGAGAAGGCCGCTGGAGCCGCTCAGGTCGAATTGGTGAGAGCTGTGTGACGCAGTTTGGGGCGAGGCCGTGTTATTAGATAGAGTTCCTTTGCGTAGGGCGTAGTGAGCCGCTTCGTGGGAACGGTCCGTGGCGTCTTCGCCAAGGCAGTGCCAAATTCTGAAGTGTGGACGAGCCCAGAGAACTTCGGCAAGCGATCCTGGAGCACATTGTGCCTAGCGAGCTTTGGCATATTATATGTGTCATAGCCCAACGGAGTGTAAGATGCTGAGCCTGAACCTGAGCTTGACTACGAAGGCACTCCGGTACCACGGACTCTTTGTCGGGTTGCCGGGTGCTGAGTGCTTGAGCAGCCGAGGGCTGGGCCTTGCGCGAGCCCAAAGCCAGGCTCGCCGGCAAAGCAATCACCCAGCAAGCTCGCCTTCCGTCAGGTCCGAGGTGCCCCGGCCCTTCATCCGGTCTGAAAGACCTTTTTAAAGTTGCTCTGACGGACATGACAAAATATGACCGAACTTCCCAGGTGACTTGCCAGACTCGTCACCGCTGAGTACCATTGACCTCGAGCCCCCCATGGACGTTAAACAGCAGCTCCCGCGAGCCATGACGCGCCAAAGTGTTCAGCTTGGGGTGCTCCGGTCTGCAAATTAACAAGACTATTTGGGGGATTCCTTATTATAACTATAGTATAATATACCCCCAAACCCTATTCTAATGATTTACGCTCTTCAAGTCTCATCGGTATCAGTTGCCTCTGCTTGCACAGGTGGGCTACCTGATCCAAAATGATGAGAGATTCAGGCTGAGCATCTGACCGTGTGTCCAACCAGGGCACAGAATTTCCAGCAGAGGCACGTGGTCCAACTCATCGGGCCACCGACCGGCATTTTGGAGCTGCTCGGCAAAGACAGGCCAGGGCTTGCTGTCATCTTGTGGTGCCACACAGGCAGCTTCCGTGAAGTGCAGGCCGGATCCCTTCACGACTCTGGTTCAAACAGTGCCGCGATGCAATGACCAACTTGCACTGCATGTGAGTGAATGCAGTGCAGTGCTCCGAGGTCTGCCACCAACAGCTGAGTGTGCGAGTTTGCCAGGGGATGTTTGAGCGACTGCTTGGACTCTGTGGAAACCGAGATGCTCGGCTGAGCACTCCGCTGTAGCACCGGAGAGTAAAGGTCTGTTGCGCGAGTTGGTGTCAAAAGGGTGCTTTTGAAACATTTTTCGGGCCGGGTCCCGTTTGACGGACCTCCAGTGCTTTTGGGCCCACGCGGCAGCTTGTCAGCGAGCCAAGGACACGAAAGTACTGCAGCCAGAGCGCGTGGCTGGCGAGTCTTGCGACAGGCTCCTCCGCACATGCCCTAGGCCTTAGGTGTCAGACAAACGGGCTGAGGTGGCGGAGTGCTGGTCTCATCATTTTCCTGTGACGTAGGATCGAGGTTGCCAGGATTTCAGCCACCCTTTACCCGAGACCCCACAACCGAAAATGGTGTGGTTGAATGGCTTGCAGTGGATTCTAGTGCACTCACAGTGCCGAAAGCCTCACCGGGATCTGAGTCGTCAGGATCCGTGAAGTCGCGAAGCTGTCATACCGGAAGCCACTTTGGTGGGCAAATGGAGCGGAAGCAGACGAACAGAGACTGAAGAGAGTTGCCCCCCAGGTCGCTCGTAGGGAGGGCCGACACTACCCGCGCAAAGTCGCGCGAACATGATAGGGGTGCTGAAGCCTTGAACGAGCGGATTTCGTTTGGGGTCATGTTGTGCGAGAACAAGCACACCCCATGACTGTCTATGACCATGGAGATCTGCACACGGCTTCGCAGCAAGGATTGAGTACATTCAGAAGATTGCTCAGCGCTTTTTGGATGGCACATTGAGCGGCGAAGTTTTCGAGGAGGCACGTGATTTGTTACTCTTTGGGAGATATGAAGCACAAGCGGCTCTTGAGAAGTCGATGTGCTTGCGCAGGCCTCTGATGGCGAGCTTCGGCAGCGCCTGACCCAGCTGCCGGGCATTGGCGAATGGACACTCGAGATGTTTCTCATCTTTCAGCTCCATCGACACGGAGGAGACGTCGTTCCCGGCCTTGGGGCTTTTCGGTGTGGAACGTTTGTGCACCGTTGCGAGATGATTTTCTGTATCCCTTGCTGTCAAGAAGATAGACGAGGCAGCACTTCTCAGGGGTGTTGCTTTTTGTAAGGCAGTGGCCAGGGATCGGGTGGGTGAGTGGATGCGGCTAGGGTTGCCACATGCTATGCTTTCGCGAACTTGTTCACGAATGGTCAGGAATCCCGTACGGGGACGTTGCCATCCAGAGCGCGATGAAGATGATCTACAACATTGCCCCACCAGCCCACATAACCACCAAGAACGAGGAGCCTCGGCTGCCCTGTGTCTGCCTGGCCTTCAAACCACAGTTTTAGATGCTCCAGGTCTCATGGATGCCCACTCGCCCACAAATGGAAATTTTTGCCAAGCGATGGGGGCCCTTCGGCAGCATCGCATCCTTGTACATGCTGCGTGTGGCGGACAATGTGAATGCCGTCTTCTTGCTGCTTGCCTGCAGGCCAATGCTCGTTCAAGCTCTGCAGTCGGAACACGTGTTCCGCCTTATCTTTCAAGCGACTTTCCTGGCACCTAGGCCTGACTGATGCCCTTGATCTGCAAGAAGGACTTCGTGGCAGGCCGCACGTGTAGAATGAACATGAATGAACAACCACGGGCACGAACAGCAACAGCAAAGAGCTGCAGCTCGATGAGCTTGTCAGATGGCCGAATATCACGATGCAACGTAAACTCGGTGCCACGTGGGAGCCAAAAAACGTAAACTCTGCAAGATCCAACTGCTGCTTGGGATCGAGACCGAGTATTTTCTCCTTGTCAAAGCAGACCCATACCATCACTGCCAGGTCTGGGTTTGTACAGATTCCAGTCTGCGTGGCCTGAACCAAGGGCGCCACCGTTCAGAGTCACGTTTTAGAGACGACGTTGAGGCACATGGTCTCGCCTGATCAGGCACAGGGTTTTGTGCCAGGCCTGCTCAAGATGTACAGGAGCGAAAAGGCATGCTGGTACGGTAGGCCGCCCTGTCGAAACTGACTGTCGAGATCTCGTTGGCTCTCGGGACAAGCTGATGTGGCAGCATGTGGCAGCGGTATGTCGTGTGACTCCTCCTTCATCTTGCTTGTCGTGTGTGACGAAATCCTCTGTGCGTTCTGTTCGTGGCTGAGGATGAAAAACATGGCCGACGGAGAGACTCCAAAGGCCTGCCTGGCTCTGATGCGGGCTTGTTTCATGGTAGGGTGGTAGAAGCTCCCTTTGCCATGCAGGCTGCCAGCGCCCTCTCCAGCAAAGCCCGGATGGAAGCCGGGGATGTCGGGACCGCGGATTCAGGCAGCCCAAGCCGTGTGTTGCGGTTTTGCCAAGGGCGAGACAGCGGAGCGCTTCGAGGCTCATCCCCCGGCATTATCGAGGGTACATGTGAGGATGCAGGGACTGCAGAAAGCCTGGGGGCACGGCCAGCACTGTCAGCCCAGCACATTCAGACTTCCTGTGATCTTCGTTTGCCTGTGCAGCGTAGTTGTCATGGCTCAAATGTTACCAACACAATAGCCTGGGTGGCTGCGGCAGCACCCTGCCGCCCGACAGCAATTGCAGGGTTGTGAGACAGTGAAGTCGCGCATACTTGTTGTTGTTCTTGTCGTGTAACCTTCTGCTCATTCTACCGCACTGCCATCAAGAAGTCTCCCTTCATTCTCACTTAGCATGTGCCCAATGCAGTCATCACCCCAACTCCCACTGCCACTCTCACAGCCGCTGGATTTGTACTTTTACCACCACTACCACCAGCACCACCACCACGAGTGGCACCTTCATTCTCTTCCAGTCAACGCGTCAAGGCCGAACTTCGCAGGGACAGGTTTGGTCACAGGATAGCGCGGCTTGGCCCAAACAGTAGCTGCCGCTGTGAGATTGCTGGGTTTGTTGTTGCATTGTAGTCGGTCCTCTACTTACATCTGCATGGTGTTGAAAAGGTATGGCCTATGCCACTACCTGGAAGCGTGCCTTGGCCAGCAAGGCACATCTGACCCGACGTGGAGTGGACCGGAGCAAGAGCAGATAGCAGTACTGCGATGCGGAATATTGGATCAATGTGGCTTGAGATAGGAGCTACCGTGCCTGCCAATATGAACCTCTCAACGACATTGCTCAGCTCAATGACACACGGCTTGTGATTCTGGGAGCAACATGGAATGCTAGAAGAAGAAGTTCGGCGGGCAAAGCAGCAACCTCAACGCCACTGCCGCACACGTTGTTGTTACATGTTGTCCAACCTCTTAGTAGCAAGCCTTATCCTTTTCATATCTTGCTGTTTTGTCGCATTGTCCTCCCTTTTGCAATGTTGTCGTCGTTACGCATCACAGCGGTCCTTCTTGCCACGTTTGTCGATGCTCAGACGTTAACGTTCTAGCACACATTGCTGCATGCAGTGAACCTTGATCGTGTCGCCTGCATGGGCACATGAGGTCGCGCCGGACCAAGTTGCACACCAGCTTTCCGAGACCCTGGAGGAGTACCAGGTGCGACGCACATGGGAGAGTCAGCCAAGCGCATTGAGGTCGGCTGGCCCCTTGCCAGTTCGTGTGCTCGCAGTCTTTTGATGCCAGGCCAGCCAGACGGAGCACATTTCGACCCTTAGCTTGACTACCGTAACTTCGGAAGTACAGTGCCGCCTACGAACTGGCGTTGACGACTGGTCGCCAAGGAAATGGATCGCGGAACAGGAGGCACGAGCTGCCGAGGCCGGAAAGCCTGCGGCAGCCCATGCAGAAGTCCATGTGTGATTGAAGAAAAGCTGCCCGACACTCATTTCGTGGAACTGTCTGATGCCAACAGGAGCAGTCGCTGCTTGAGCAGCTCGTACGAGAGTCGCTGAACCTGCCTCCGGCGGCAGACACACGTGACCTGGCTTCCCTGGGCATCCTTTGACTTGAGGCCGATGGCAGTAAGGGTTTCATCATCATTTTGCGAGTCGGCTCAAAGGGGCGTTGAAGTCTAGTCTAGTGGCCGGTGGCCCGCCATGGCATCTGAAGAGACGGCAGAGAGAGCTGGATCTATGCAGGCACCTCTGCAGATTGCAGACCGGATATCGGCCCAGGGCATGCTAAGTGACATTTGGGAGACCCCACGTGTGCTGCGTCAGCTAATTCAGGCACATCTTAAAGATGGCAAGGTCGACATTCCGGGACTTCGAAAGCCGCTGCCTGAGGCCCACGGCCTTGCAGGGAAGAGTCCGCTGGAGATCCTCGCAGAGTGCTCTCAGAGCCGCATGTCCGAGAAGGGCTTCTGCCATAGGCTCACCGTGATTGGCTCCGGAACCTCATGGCATGCCGCGATTCTGGCGGAGTACCTCATCGAGACGATGGCGCGAATTCCTGTTGAATCCCAGTATGCTTCGGAGTTCAGGTATCGCGAGCCAACGTTGCGAACAGGCGACGTCCTAGTTGTTGTGTCAATGTCAGGAGAGACAACCGATGCGGTGGAGGCACTTCGCCGTGTGAGGAAAAGTCCCAGTGGCACTGGTGTTCTCACTATCGCCATTGTGAACCAGTTGGACTCCACCCTAGCCAGAGAGTGCGACTTTGTTCTGGATGTGTGTGCTGGCCAGGGGGTGGGCGTCGCATCAACGAAAACGTTCTCAGCAACCAACATGATGTTTGTGCTCCTCAGCCTTGCCCTTGCAGACGAATGCGGTCAGATTGGCGCAGAGAGGGAGAGCTTGGTTCAAAGATTGCAGGAGCTCCCGGACAGCATGCAGGAGGTTTTAGACAAGGAGGCCAAGCCGCTAGTCACCGAAGTTGGCGATCGCTCCATTGAGATCGGCGAGTGTCCATTATGGGACATTGGCTGTCAAAATGTTCTGGCAAGAAACTTTATCTTCTTGGGACGCGGCTTCAACTTCCCAATCGCACTGGAGGGAGCCATGAAATGCAAAGAGTTGGCTTACATACATGCAGAAGGTTACCCTGCCGCAGAGATGAAGCATGGCCCGATTGCCCTCATAGATGAGTTTATGCCAGTTGTGGTGATTTGTCCGAAAGCAGATGCCACTTACGAGAAAATAAAGTCCAACATCGAAGAAGTTCGAGCTCGAAATGGTGCCACAATTGCGATTACCGAGAAGCACAACCACGAGCTGGAGAAGCTTTGCGAGTACGTCATTGGAGTGCCGGAGACACATGAGTACCTCATGCCGTTGCTTGCCATGCTTCCGCTGCAGTTGTTGGCCTACATGATGGGGATCCTCAAAGGCAACGCCGTCGATGCCCCGCGTGGCTTGGTGAAGAGTGTCTCAGTCTCAGTGAGGGCCGACAGCTCTGCACCTGGCGGCTACGTAGCCTCCTACTGAGCCGAAAGCCAAAACCTGAAAGGAGCCTGCGCCCAAAGGCGCCGGACTCCGCTTGGGAGGTCGCAGCTGACATTAGCGCAACTCCTGTGGCTTTAGAGCTTTAGAGGCTATGAATTGCTTACACAGCAAGGGCAAATACCTGCAGTGTGCAAACGTCACGCTGGCCGAAAATGGCATAACTTGCTTCGTTGATGTGTCTTCCTTCCTTGACATGGTCTGTACATGTGCGCAGCAGCTGTCGCATCTGAGGAGCGCGGGGCGATCAAGGCAACAGAGCTCACAGCGAGGCTGTTGGGATACGTAGAAGTTCCTGCCTTTGCAAGTGGAGCGCCCCTTTTCCGCAGGTCGAAGATGTGTCCTCCGAGGACCTGGAGCTGCTGGTGGTCGGGCATGGAACGACCAATAAGACGCTTAGCACGGGATCTGAAAGTAGTATGTTGTAACTTGTTATGGAAGGAAACGTATTTTAAGTAATATAGACGAATGGTGAGCCACCGCAGGTGCGTGTTGGCACCAGGTGCAGCTCGAAGACAACACAGCAGCCAAGGATGTCTACAGCTGCTGTCGCTGATTCTGGCGAAGTGCTCGCATCGCTTCCAGCTTCTCTCAAGCGCCGCGCATGGAAAGAGAAGGGTGTTGTTGCTGGTTCACCGATGACGATATTGTCTTGCCGACTTGTGGCCAACTGCTGACCGGATTCAAAGTGGGATGGCAGTGACTAAGGACCTCCCTTAGAAGACATGCTGCGGCTCAGCAAAACAGTGCCTTGCTTAGTTTGTTTTAGTGGACCTGCCTTGACGAGGGTCATGTGTGCTTGACGTGCTTACGTCCTGTTGCGAGGTTTGGAGGAATGGGCAAGACGCCACGAGATGCTCCAAAAGCAGGCGCGCTGAGCCGCTGAGCCAAGCTGCACCTTCCTCGGAGCTTGCGGTCCCCTGCCCCGTGCCAGGCCTACATTCGGATGCAGGCCTTGCTGCGAAGATCCGATGCTCAAGGCGGTGGCTGTAGTCTGCAGAATCTTGCAGATCTGCGGTGCGTGTTCTGGAGATCACCACACCAGCCTTTCAGCATGTTGCCTGCTCGACATCCTGAAGCTCGTACTCTTATGCTCCAGCTGAGCATCAGGTGTTCTTGTTCGGCCCTATGTCACGGGAACGAGGTCGTCGCGGTCACCAGCCTTCGCAGGACGTCAACCCCCGTTCTTGCCACGTTGTTCGAGCTCAGCCAAGTGTCAGGTGTCGGAATGGGAACTTCAAGTCTGCTCAGCCATTCCGCTCACCGCGGCCCTGATATGCCGCGGAGGGCCAGGGGCTCAGGTTGATCCCTATGCATGACGTCAATGCACGCATCCTCGAGCACTGCTGTTCTGAGTTTGCTTGCGGTGTCGAAAATCGCTACACCTGAGGATGTCGGTGAGACAGGCGGGACACCGGATGTGCAGTGCCTGGAACGCAAAATCAAGAGAGAGGCTAAAGCTGCCATGACGTGCCATCAGCTGAGTGGTCCTCGGGCCTTTGAGAAGCTGAGGCCTTTACCTTCCAAGAGGGTGAGCTGGTTGCCTTCCACCAACGAGATGCATTGGTGCAGGTCAGCTTCGATTTCGGCGTTGTATATGTATATGTAATATATATATATATATATATATGTCTGTATATATATATATACAGACATATACTACATAAATATATAAACATATAAGTTTTCTAATTATCGGCTCGGTAGGTCAGGAACTAGGAGATCAGTTTTCACGATCATTGATCCGTGGCCATTTTGGCGATCAACCGATCGGCCCAGATTTTCGATCGTCGGCGTGGGGAAGATTAGATCCTTCGACTGTGCAGCCATGTCGTTCCCCGCAGCAGGTCCCTACCGCGGACCAAGCTCCCAGCCACAGGTTCCCCAGTTCGGACTGCCGCGGAGACTGCCACCCGCTGTAGATGCTGGCATATGGGGCCTCTACACCATCGTCGCCACCCCCCGATGACCAGCCTGTTCAGCTTGGGTCAATGCTTTCGCGTAGAACTGTGGCCCGAGCTCATGG